TAAATCCCCTCTATACAAGATTGGATCCAAAAGCTGACAGAATATGCCAAATTAGATGGTCTATCAGAAAAAATAAAGAATAAATCAAAACAGGAATTTGTTTCAAAATGGGAGGTTTTCAAAGAATATCTGAAAAATAAATATAGTAGTTTAAATTCTGTTGCAGCATTCGAGGAACTTCAGTAATAGTTGCAAGGTAGATATAAGGAATTAGATTTATTAAGAATAAGTTTAATTATGATAAAAGTGTGTATTGGCAATAAGTAATATGAAATTGAAATATGGAATATGGAATATACAGGAGGTTGGGTCTTTAGTGTTAAGACCAATATATGTTTGCTAAGAAAATTATGTGTCTATGGTTATTACTGTGTGTAACTTGGTATTTGTGTTTGTTTTTTTCTTGTTGTATCAATAAAAATCTTTTAAAATTAAAAAAAATAGATCAGGGATGGGCAGAATATAGATCAGAATCTACTGGTAGAACTCCCCATGATTTATAGTAGATCACCAAAGATTTATTGACTCCTAGTTGTTTAACAGTCACAGCAACAAAATGACTTTCCCCACTTAAATTAGGCTACTCAAATGAAGAAAGCTAACCAGGAGTGGGCTTTTTGCAGTTGATGGTACTGAATTATGGTACTTATGGTACTGAAAACAGAATCCTAGACTTTAACATTTTTTGACATTCTCCCTGTATGTCATTTGCATCTGGCTCTGATTGGTAAGTTTTGTGATTCTGCTAACGAACAAGGTAGATCTGCAAGCTTGGAGCCTGCCCATCCCTGTCCTAGTGAGAGAAAAAGCTTTCAGTCTTACTCTATGAACTGGTGCTCCTGCTTCATTCTATGACTCACTGAATCAAAAGGTTAGGATTGTTCTTTGCGAGCTACGCTAACATGCTTGCTAAGGGCTGTTTTATGAACAGTCCCATTTTTTGGAAACTCATTAGGTCAGGGATGGCCTAGGAGTCTCCTGATGTTCGACTACAAGTCTCATCATTCCTGACCATTGCCTAAGTTAAAGGTAAAGGTACCCCTGCCCGTACGGGCCAGTCTTGATAGACTCTGGGGTTGTGCGCCCATCTCACTCTATAGGCCGGGGGCCAGCGCTGTCCGGAGACACTTCCGGGTCACGTGGCCAGCGTGACAAAGCTGCATCTGGGGAGCCAGTGCAGCACACGGAACGCCGTTTACCTTCCCGCTAGTAAGCGGTCCCTATTTATCTACTTGCACCCAGGGGTGCTTTCAAACTGCTAGGTTGGCAGGCGCTGGGACCGAGCAACGGGAGCGCACCCTGCTGCGGGGATTCGAACCGCTGACCTTTCGATCGGCAAGTCCTAGGCGCTGAGGCTTTAACCCACAGCGCCACCCGTGTCCCCATTGCCTAAGTTAGCTAGGACTTATAGGAGCTGTAGTCTAGTAGCAACTGTAGGACCAAAGTTTCCTCACCTTAGCAGCAGGGGATAGTTCTCAGAATTGTTTGCCTAGTTTTCACAGTGTTGGTAAACCTGAGTCTGAGCTACACCGCTCCAGGGTGTGTGTGTGTGTCAGGTAATAGAATATTCCACTACGTAAAAGTTTCTCCAGGGAGAAAGTTAGGCTACAAAGAATCTCTCCTCCTGGTGCCAGGAGGAGAGATTCTTTGTAGCCTAACTTTCTCCCTGAGTAGATCCTACACCAATCAGGGGATTGGAATACGTGATCTCTAAGGTACTTTCCAACTCCAGTTTTTTCCCAGTGCTTAGGGAGGAGTGTTCCACCTGTGACAGAAATGCTACTCAACAAGACCTAGAGCAGAATTCAAAATTGTGCTCTTCCAATCATCACAACTGTGTTGTTTTGAGGGTTCTCCCAACACCTCTGCAGAACCAATTGAGATGGGGGATGTGTGCAGTCGAGAGGGTGAAAAGTCTCTTCACACAAGCAGAAGTTCTCGCATAGGGCTTCCACTGAAGGAATTTATTAGGTGAATCTCACTCCTTGACTGAAGTGGCTTTAGACACTGAAATCTAGCTCCGAGGGCCTTCTGGCTGTTCCCTCACTGTGAGAAGGGAAGTTGCAGGGAACCAGGCAGAGGGCCTTCTCGGTAGAGGCTCCCACCATGTGGAACTCCCTCCCATCAGATGTCAAGATAAAGAAAAGGAACTATACAACCTTTAGAAGACACCTGAAGGCAACCCTGTATTGGGAAGTTTTAAAAATTTTGATATCTTATTATGTGTTTATATGTGCTGGAAGCAGCCCAGAGTGCCTGGGGAAACCCAGTCAGATGGGCTGGGTATAAATAAATTGTTGTTGTTGAAAATTCTCTCTCTTGGCCTGAGATTCCCCCACCTCCCACAAAACAGGAATAGTTATCCTGATCTGCCATAAAGGACTGTAAGGAATGTTGAAATAAAATAAATGATGGTGTCTGGTACCCATTGGGACTGGTAGGATGGAAGGCAAGGAGACCCAAAGCAGCCAATTACAGACAGAGCCAACTAATTCTGGTTTTGTTGCCATCCACCTCCCTGCTGATTTCTGCAAGGGTCAACACTTCAATTAAAGAGGAGGAAGCTGACAGACAGGGCTGACCCTTTGACTGCTTGTGGAGGGACTGGCTGAGCACAGCCTGAGGGTTGGTATGACAGTACTTCATTCATCCAAATAGACCAGCCCCTACTGTATATGATTGCTACTGTTGAAATCCGCATGGTGTTTCTCCACAGAAGGAACCTACACGATAGCAACAAAACTGTGCTTTAAGCCACCCTAATTGGAATTTGGAAATTGTTTACCAATAGAAAAGTTATGCTTATTCATAAACCCAGCGAACAGAAGGTTTATTACTTTCAGAGAAAGTTTGTTTGATTTTTTTCCCTTTTTTTAAAAAAATCCTTGCATTAGCGTATAATTTTTCCTTTTCATTTGTTGTACGAAAAAGACAAAGTTTTAATTAAGCAGGAACCTTGGCAAGAATGCAGAGAGCTATTAATCTGGTTGGGTGCTTTCCTGCTATTTATGTAAAAAGTGATTTTCAAAAAATTATGAAATGTATTCTTAATAAATGACTGCTAATTATGGAAGTTTAATAGACCTTGGCTTCCATAGCTTGGAAAGCATTACATATCTCTTTGATTATCTGGGTTTTTCATAGAGTTATAATGATCTCTACTCCGGTGAACATGGAACATTTTAATACTCTAGCCATGTGCAGATGCTCAAATCTGGGTGACATATATACATAGTACATAATATTGCCTATTATCTCCGCCCCATCTGGGCACTCAATCTCGATGTATTACAGTGTATGTATGTATATCTCAACACATATCAATTCTAAACTTGTGATCTGATCTGGGCCATGAAAAACCATAAGTCCCACACTGTGTATAGGTCTTCTGTGTATTTCAGAAGTGTGCATATTCCTAAAGTACAATGTATTTCAGATTTAGTTGGGTAGCGAGTTGTGGGAACAACATGGGGCAAATATTTGGGCTTCGGCAGTAAGATTACCAACAAGAACCATCAAAGGACTAGTTACAGATAGGTAGCCGTGTTGGTCTGCCATAGTCAAAACAAAAAAAAATTCCTTCCAGTAGCACCTTAAAGGACCACTAAGTTAGTTCTGGGTATGAGCTTTGGTGTGCATGCACCACTTCTTCAGATACCACTTCTGAAGAAGTGTTGCATGCACATGAGAGCTCATACCAAGGAACAATTACCGTAGTTGGTCTTTAAGGTGCTACTGGAAGGAATTTTTTTTGTCTTCATCAAAGGACTGTTTGTCTATATCAGATCTGCCTGCCAATGGACAATTTGGATAGAGAGCAAAAGTATGGCACCTGTTTGTGGAAAGTTTCTAGGATCTTGAGACAGATCGGGGGGGGGGAGAGGACCAAAGCAAGTGGAATTGGTTGAAGAAGGTAGATGGAGTCAGTTCCCTTGGGGGGGGATGGTGGGAACCACAAAGAAATCTAATGCAGACTACCAGCTATGCCACCTCCTTGGCCCTGCCTGGACAGAGGGAGGGTCAGAGGCAGTTGGCCAGACCCCTCCCCTCCCCACTGAATCTACCCGATGAAACTTTTTAGTCCTTCCCTGAAGGAGCTGCCAATCCATGACTCTGCTTTTGATGCCAGCATGAGAGCAATGAACAGGACAGATCTGAAGAGCAGAGTTTTCAGCCAAGGAGAAAGAATTGACAGGAATGCACCTGAGAGTGGATTGCAAGTTGACATGCCATCAAATAGCCCTTTTCCATGGTTGCAACCCAGTTATGGAATGTCTTCTTCCGGGAGGCAATCCTGGCGCTGACTCTGCTGATATTCCAATCCCAGCTTTCGATTCACCCATTTTCTTGGGCTTTTCTGAGACACAAACATGAGTTTCTGTTTTGGTGAGGAGCTCTGTTGGCTCAATAAGACATGTTTAATGACCGAGTTGCAGTTGATTCTATGTATGTTTTATCTGTACTCTTTCTTAGGTTGTTTGCATTTAATTGCTTTGTAACCCACCCTGAGATTGTAAAATGAATAGTAATTAAGTAACAAGCTAAATTAATAAATACTGGTAAGCTCATTTGCAACTACTGATAGCAGATTCCTGGACAATTATTTTTTTCTAGCATATATTTAAACTAAAGAAATATAACTCCTTGGCTTTTGAAACAGGCTGGTAAATGAGCTCACATAAGTTATTTGCCTGCTGGGGGCTGGTGGACAATGACTGCTTTCTATGCTAAACATAGTAGATTGACGTCCCTCCTCCACCAGCTTGCTCTCTCAACTGCATGCAATTGCTTGGGACAGCTCAGTTGGTAGAGCACAAGACTCTTAATCCCAGGGTTATGAGTTCAAACCTCACCTTGGGCAAAAAATTCCCGTATTGCAGGCAGTTAGACTAGATGACCCTCGTGGTCCCTTCCAACTCTGTTTGTATGAATTGCTTGTTGCCAGAGGCTATCGGACTCCTGCTCTTTAAAAACAGTGCCGGGAAAGCTTTTTCAAGAACAAATGAATGCAGCAAATAGCAGCTTAACTAGTGCCTTCTGCAGTTTGTGATGCTAATCTTCTCTGTATCGTTCCAATTTTAGTATATGTGCTGCCGAAGCGAGCACCTTCTGCAGTTTGTGATGGAAGGAGGCAGCCCTTGCTATAAGGTTAGGGCTTTTCCTGCTTTCATCTGTGAAAATTTGGAAAATGTGCGAGAGATCAACTGATATTTACACAGGCTGATGCCCCATAGTCAACCTGAACACCTGGCCACAGCGCATCTCAGTGGGTATTGGTAAGACATAGACACAGAGGCTGCCCATAGTTCAAGGGCAGAAGTCAAGGAATATGACAGCCATCAAAGAAATGATGTCACTATGCCTGAGTCATTCATGGGAGATGCAGACACAGATTGTGAGAGTCAAGCAACATGAGTGATAGCCATGTTTGCGCTGACAAATGAAGATAGAAATTGGCAGTAAAAGGCTGGTCTGGATATTCTGTTTGGCCAAACCATTTTGTTTTAGTGTGTTTTATTATCAATGTCAAGATACTTAGAATGTCACTGGCATCTCTATGTACATGCTAAGTGCACTAGACAAAGCCCCATAAAAGCATTCTAAAAGCATTCATGCTCTGGTGACCAAATCTCATTTGTAGGCAATACTAATGTGCTGTTATTATGATGCTGTCAGGGCCCAATGCAGCCTTTTTCCCCTCACTAGGTTTAATAGGAGTTGAATCAACCCATCAATTAAATATCTCTAGACCGAATGGCCCAACATCCATCCTCTGTCTGTTGCCAGCACCAGATGCCACTGAGTCGCCTGCAATAAAACAAGAGCGGCGAGATGTAAAATGATTAGACACCCCACCCAGTAACATCTCTTTTCCTCCCTCTTCCCTAACCAGAGCATTTTAGGTTTAAAGTCCTACTGCAAAAAGCTCTTCTTTTTCACCAGATGTTGAACAGCGTCAGTAGGAAGGCATATGCTGAGCACCTACAAGTATCTGGCACAGAACTTTTCACAATGAAAGCCCCAGCTTTCTAGCCTTCCTAGTTAAAGTGGGGTCCACTTAAAATGGACACAAATTTATGCACGAGCTTCCTTGTCTTTAAAACCTGGCTGCCTGCAAACTATTATTATGCAAATTTATGAGAACAATTTGGAAATGAAAGTGGAGACATAGCAGAGCAGGAAGATGACTGAATAAGCTGGAAGAAATTATTTCCCTTTATGGAGTTTGCTGCTGTTCCGACACTTGGCTGGCGGGAGGGGTGGGACTTTAATCTTTCGCCCATTCAGGGAGAAGCGTGGCATGAATAGCTTCAGTGTCCCAACAAGAGGAAACACAGCTGGGGAAGTTGCATGGGGGCTATTAACTCTGGTCGCGGCATCTCACTGTGTTTCTCTTGCCCACCAGCAAAGCTACAATCCTGCCTGCTCTCGGCAACAGCACTGGGTTTATACCACTTCCCCATTGTTTGGGAAAAACAGCCTGATGGGCTAAAATGGACCCTCTGGAGGTCCAAGATGGGTTCATTTGCCATAAATTATCCACCACTGATTTAAAAGGTTTTTTAAAACATTTAATATCTTTTAAAACTCAATGTGGTATACACTGTTTACAATGGAAAAAACACTTTGCATTAAGACAAAAATATAGCCTAAGAGCAATAAAACAGTGTTATCTGTCTGTCTGTCTATCATCTATATCTATCTATCTATCTATCTATCATCTATCTATCTATCTATCTATCTATCTATCTATCTATCTATCATCTATCTATCATCTATCATCTATCTCTATCTATCTATCTATCTATCTATCATCTATCTATCATCTATCATCTATCTCTATCTATCTATCTATCTAATCTATCTATCTATCTATCTATCATCTATCTATCTATCATCTATCATCTATCTATCTATCTATCATCTATCTATCTATCTATCTATCTATCTATCTATCTATCTATCTATCTATCATCTATCATCTCTATCTATCATCTATCTATCTATCTATCTATCTATCTATCTATCATCTATCTATCTATCTATCTATCTATCTATCTATCATCTATCATCTATCTATCTATCTATCTATCTATCTATCTATCTATCTATCATCTATCTATCTATCTATCTATCTATCTATCTATCTATCTATCTATATCTATACCACTTCCCCATTGTGAGGTGGGGTAGGAAATTTTCTGGAGGCTCTGATTAGCTATTGTGTTTCCCCTCCCCCTCCCCTCCCCCTCTCTGTTAGCCATAGAGGGTATTTGTGCATTTGGAAAGTGGCTGAAAATTTCTGATTACAGCTGGTAGGTAGCGTAGAAGAAGAAGAAGAGTTTGGATTTGATATCCCGCTTTATCACTACCCTAAGGAGTCTCAAAGTGGCTAACAATCTCCTTTCCCTTCCTCTCCCACAACAAACACTCTGTGAGGTGAGTGGGGCTGAGAGACTTCAAAGAAGTGTGACTAGCCCAAGGTCACCCAGCAGCTGCATGTGGAGGAGCGGGGAATCAAACCTGGTTCACCAGATTATGAGTCCACCACTCTTAACCACCACACCACGCTGGCTCTCACTACGGTGGGTAAGAGCAGGGCTTCCCTCAACTGGAACTCACTGGAACTCAGTTCCAGCACCTCTCAGGCAGGCGCCATTACCATTCTATGAGAATGAGGGAGGTGTTCATGGTGAGTCCCGGCACCTCTTTTCCTAGAAAAATTGCACTGGTGTAAGAGGTTTTGGGGACATGGGTGGCGCTGTGGTCTAAACCACTGAGCCTAAGGCTTGCCGATCGGAAGGTCGGCGGTTCGAATCCCCGTGACTGGGTGAGCTCCCGTTGCTCAGTCCCAGCTCCTGCCAACCTAGCAGTTTGAAAGCACGTCAAAGTGCAAGTAGATAAATAGGTACCGCTCTGGCAGGAAGGTAAACGGCGTTTCCATGCGCTGCTCTGGTTTCGCCAGAAGCGGCTTAGTCATGCTGGCCACATGACCCGGAAGCTGTATGCCGGCTCCCTCGGCCAATAAAGCGAGATGAGCGCCGCAACAGAGATTGCCAGTCAAGATGAAAAAAACACCTGATTGGGAGACTAGAGGGGGTGATGAGAGTGCTGCCATGAGTTGGGAATGTTGTGTGTGCAAATTATTTTGTTCTTTGCTCACCTCCTCCCTCTGTTGGCCCATATGTGGTGTTTCGTATTTATGCACTATAGCCAGTTGGATCCACTTTGAGGTAATTGTTCTTTATTGATTTTTGTTGAACTTCTAGCTTGTACTACAATCTGGTCTCTGAATAGTGTTGGGCACTCAAGGCTCTAGTAACCTGCAGGGGATAATGAGTGAGAGCACCCTGTTATAGCACTCATATATGTGAGCCAAGTGCTGAATGGGGACGGATGGAAGAGGATTTCACTGAGTTTTATGCCAATTCCTCTTTGTGATTATAGTTTTGTCCATAGGGGAATAGTTTATACCCATCAGCTTTACTTTTATCACAACATATGATTCACTCCCCCATCCCTTGAACCTAGCATGAGAACTGATACCTACTAGGCTTATTTAACATGCTAATCTCTCCATGTAGCTTTATGCAAGGTTGAGGTAATGCGGTAGCTACCTCATGAAACAGCTCCCATATGCCATTGATAGATGGGTATCACATGAAACCTAGGGGGACGCCAGTGGCGCTGTGGTCTAAACCACTGAGCCTCTTGGGCAGGGGTAGGCAACCTAAGGCCTGGGGTCGGATGCAGCCCAATCATCTTCTCAATCTGGCTTGTGGATGGTCTGGGAATCAGTGTGTTTTGACATGAGTAGAATGTGCCCTTTTGTTTAAAATGCATCTCTGGGTTATTTGTGGGGCATAGGAATTCGTTCATTCCTGTCCCCCCATCCCCGAAATATAGTCCGGCCCACCACATGGTCTGAGGGACGGTGGACCAGCCCACAGCTGGAACAGGTTGCTGATCGTAAGGTCAGTGGTTTGAACCCCTGCGACGGGGTGAGTTCCTGTTGTTCTGTCCCAGCTCCTGCCAACCTAGCAGTTCAAAAGCACGCCAGTGCAAATAGATAAATAGGTACCGCTGTGGCAGGAAGGTAAACAGCATTTCCGTGCGCTCTGGCACTCTGACCATTAGAGGTTTAGTCATGCTGGCTACATGACCCAGAAAACTAACTGTAGACAAACGGATCACATGAAAGCTCACACATGCAAATATCTCACATGTCTGATGCAAGAGTCACTTACCTTGATTGTAGCTTAGGGTATTTTGGGGGGTTATTCCCCATGGAGAGAGAGAAAATTAATAGTATTCCTTCCTCATTACTTCACACAGTACTTTCTCAAATTGATTCTGAGTTCTCATTATTCCCCATCACACTTTAACTTGCAGGTGTTTTTTCTTCTTCCCTTCCAGATTTGCTATTTAAGCACACTTCCTCAGTAGGAATGTGATATAACATTGGTTTAGTTCTCCCTGAGGTGGTAAACCTGTCTCTGGGCTTTGGCACAATGCTTCCGTAGGAGAGGAAACACTTGCTGTGAATAGAAAAATACATGCCTTAAATAAAGCATGACCAAAACCTCATGTCTTTCTTTATGGAGGGAATTTGTGTCAATTTAAAAAAAAAACATATATACAAAGGACTATTGTTACTAGTACTACAACTATTTATTAATTTTCTATACTGCCCTGTATCTACAGGTCTCAGGCAGTTCACAACACATAAAAACACAAAATCCATAATAAAAATTAAAAGAACAACTCAATATTCCTGCCCTCCTCCAACGCATTTTAAAAGAGCATCAGATGTCAATCAGCCAAAGGCTTGGTTAAAGAGGAATGTTTTTTGCCTGGCACCTAAAGGTGTACTGTGGTACCTCTGCTTACGAACTAAATTTGTTCCGGAGGTCCGTTCTTAACCTGAAACCATTCTTAACCTGAGGTACCACTTTAGCTAATGGGGCCTCCTGCTGCTGCCGCGCCACCGGAGCACGATTTCTGTTCTCATCCTGAAGTAAAGTTCTTAACCTGAGGTACTACTTCCGGGTTAGCGGAGTCTGTAACCCAAAGTGTTTGTAACCCGAGGTGTTTGTAACCTGAGG